TTAACAACAAATGTAAGGGAAAGTGAGGGAGGGGTGTTGATAGGCTATATGGGAACTCTACTATCTGATCAACTCTGTACTGAGTAATTTGAAATTGCTCTATAAAGTGGTTTAAAAATAGCCATGTTAAAAAGTCCAATTAGAAAAAAAAAAGATATTTCACTGAAGAGGATATACAAATGGCAAATGTGCACATGAAGAAAGGTTCAACATTAGCCATTAGGGAGATCAAATTATAAGCACAACAGGACAATACTGGCTAAAATGAAAAGTAGTGGCAATACTAAAGGCTCAAGAAGATTTTGAGAAGTTGGATCACTCATTCATTTTGGTGGATATGTAAGTGGTACACCTGCTCTATAAAAGTGGTTTGTAGTTTAAAAACAAAACATGAAGGCTGGGGATGTAGCTCAGAGGTAGAACATTTGCCTAGCATTCATGAGACCCTGGGTTCAATCCTCAGTACCCAAAATAACAACAAAACTAAACAAGAATTCACCATATGACCCTTCAGTTGCATTTATGGGCATTTATCCCACAAAAAATGAAGACAACCTGTACATGAATTATTTACAGTAGCTTCATTTGTTAAAGCACAAAACTAGAAACTCCAAATATATAACTTTCAAGTTAAGTAGACTGGTGTGTCCAGACCATAGACTATTACTTGGTAATTAAAATGGAATGAACTATTGATAAAACAGCCCAGATGAATCTGCAGAGACTGAAGGAGCAGTCCCCAGAAGTTAAATAATTTATACATTCCCATTTATATAATATTCTTGAAATAATGTTATAGAAGTGGAGAACAAATTAGTGGATGCCAGGGGCTGAGGGTGGCAGGAGCAGAGGGAAGTGGGTGTGACTATAACCAGGCAACATGAGTGATTTTCCTGGAGATGGAAATATTCTGGGCCTTGAGTGTATCAATGTTAGCATTTTAGTTGTGATACTATTATACAGTTTTGCAAGATTCTAGGAGGAAACTGTGTAAAGAATATGTGGGATCTAAATTCTGATAATATGTGGGATCTATAAATTCTGAATTTATAGTTATTCCAGAATTAAAACAAATAGTTTAATGTAAAAAAAAAAACAGACTATATTGTGAATGCGAGGCCAGTAGGTGTTAGATGTTAAACAAAACTTGTCAGGCAAATCAACACAGGCTCTCCTTCTGTGAGTGATGGGCTACCTGTGCTTGGGGATCCTGGCTCTGCAATCAACTTCAGAGATTAATGGATGGATTTGTTTTTGTACTTCATTCCTTCCCCCCAAAATGACTATATTTTTCCCCAAAAACTCCTCCTGAATGTGTAGGCTTAAGGAAGGGTAAAAGGGAGATGGAATGAGGGGAAGATGAGGAGCAGGAATGTTGAGGTTTGGCTGTTGGGAAGTCCACCAGTTTGGATGGGTAACTGGTAGCAATGACAGCCAGAAAGGAACTTTGGTTACTTATGAGTGTGAAAAGTGAATTTGACAGAGACTGCCTGGGGAAAAAATTCCAGTTAACCCAAGTACCAGCTCCTGCTCTTTGTTTTGAAAACTCTATTGAAACTTACAGAAAATTAGATCAGTGTGCATCAATATATTTTCCCCAAATAAACACAACAGTATATCCAAAACCCAAATCAAGAGTCAGCAGTATCAGCCACCTTGTGTTTACATCCTTATCCATTTGTATACATGGCATCATATGAACTCTCTTGTGGCTCTTGGTGGGTGCAGGGCTGGGGATCAACCAAGGGCCTCACCTATGCTAAGCACATGCTGTGCTCCTGAGCTACATCCCAGCCCTCTCTGGCTTGTTTTGATCAACATTAATTTGTGAGGTCTTTCTGTAATGTTGCATATACTCATTGATCTTCATTCTTGCTGTTTATAGTATTCCGTTTACAGATATAATTTATCCACTCTAATATTGCAGGGCATTTGGATAGCTTCCAGTTTGAGGCTATTTGAAAGGTAGTTCTGTGATTATTCTTGAATATGTCTCTTGAACATATTTTGTATTTCTGTAGGTCATATACCTATAAAACAAGCTGGATCTCAGTATGTACACATGGCCAACTTTTGTAGAAATTTTCCAAAATGGCTGTGCATTTTACATTCTTATGGGTACTTATCTAGATCTTCCCTTACACATGATATTTTTAGTCTTTAAAGTTTTTGTCATTATATAGTGGATGTGTGTTGGAATTGTGGTTTGGTTTTAATGATGGGTAACAAAAGTGAGAGGGTCCTGTCTTTTGGAAAGAGAACAGGCACATAAGACAGCTCCTTGCTCCTCCTAGGGACTGAGACTTGCCAAAGGACTTTTTATTCCATTTACAGAAAGGCATTTGATTTAGGTATGTAATGAAGGTGACAAGTCAAAATGTTCCCTTAAACAGTTTAACCCAAGCCACTCTAACCAAAGGTTTGACCAGTAAAACAGCAAAAAGGAACATGACTTGGACTGTCCAGACAGTGCCCAAATTCATAGTTGCCTTCCCCTGATACCACTGTGTAACTGGAGAGAATAAGGACAGCTTTCAGTTATCCATTCCATGAACAGGGATACTCCAGCCAGTTATCTGTGAGTATCCACTCAGACCCCCAGACTTGATAGGATTGTTTTAGACTTCGAAGACGTTTGAAATTCTACAGATGCAAAAAGCAGCTTTTTCAGAGTTTTGTTTCTTCAGAGGCAAAAACTTCCAGGAGTGAGCCTGCCACACACGTCCCCTCTCTGGGGAGTTTTACTGGCCAGAAAAGAAAATGGAGATCTCAGTCACCTGACTACACAAAATTACAAACTTTGCTGCCTCCTGTTTATCCTCCTAAGAACCATTTTTTCCTGAAGAAACTTTTGTTTGTTTATGGTACCAGGGCTTGAACTCAGGGACACTCAGCCACTGAGCCACATCCCCAGCCCCTGATCTTTTTTTTTTTTTTATTTTTTAATTTTTTTAGAGACAATATTTTACTTAGCACCTTGATTTTTTTGCTGAGGCTGGTTTTGAATTCATGATTCTCCTGCCTCAGCCTCTGGAGCCACTGGGATTACAGGTGTGAGCCACCTCCCCAGCCTTCTCCCTCTCTTCCTGATTTGGTTATAGATACATAAACCCCTATCTCTAATTATCAAGAAATCCACTTTTTTGCATAATTCTGTAGTCATAATGGAAAAGTTAACATCATATCTTCTATTAATCTTTTAGTTAATTCACAAACCTCCAAACACATAACCTTAGTTGGTGGAGGAAAAGATTGTTCCCCCCAGCAATTGTTTGAACTTCAATAGGACACATCAATTTGAGCCATTACTCCATCAATAACCTGTTTAGTTGAATTGTGTTAGTTAAGACACGGAGTGTTTATGTTAATATTATTTCACTGGAAAGCTATCTAAATACAGACAGTGCCCAAATTCAGAATTGGGCACTAAGTCCCCGTTTTAAAGCTGAGTCAGTTCATGGGTGTTTACTGGTGATTCCTTTTCGTGAAGCAGGTGCCTCAGACACAACCTCCAGTCTTCACAACAGTCAGGCCTGTGCTACGCATCTCCACTCCGTTACGGGGTGTTTAGCATTTAGCAAGGAATGATTCAAACCTCACACACAAGGAACATGAAGACTATACAGACTAATTTTCACCCCTAGAAATAAGCTGCCCTTCCCAAAGTCACCTTCAGTGACCCACTCTTCCCGCCAAGAATGGGTCCTTCAGACCCACTCTGAAAATGGGATTCCATTTGTAGCTTTGGTGTATTTTTTTAAAAAAAATCAGACTCAACAGGGGATGGAACATAACATGTCACTCCCTTTTGCGGGGAGGATGGGCAGAAGGGATACAGAATTACAGTGGCTGTCAGAACCCTGGGTTCCCCCATGAACCCTCGGGGCGCTGCTCTCTGCAGGTGGAAGCCTGTGCTGAATTAAGCAACCTCCGAAGAGGCGCGGAGGAGCGAGTCTAGCAGGCGTGGGGTCTCCAAGTTGACCTTCAGGCCAGGTGACCCAGAGGGGTGAGCTTACCTGCAGGGCTGCGGCGAGGAGCCAGCGGCCGCCACCACACGCCCGGGCCGCCTGGGAGGTGGGGAGGGAGCAGAGCTTGGGGCGCGCACTGGGTACCCGCTGCAGAAAGGGGTGCAGTGCGGAGGATTGGGCCGGGGAGGGGTGAGAAGGAGCCCGAGACCCACCCGGGCCACCCCGCGCTGACTCCCCCTCCGGCTGTTAACCCGGCGGCGGGGCACTGGGCGGGGCGTCCGCGGCGCGGCAGGTGCTCGGCTCCGTGCACGGCCCGCAGAGGCCCGCGGGCCAGGGAGGGTGCGGGGCGAGCCCAGGCGCCCACGGAGCGGTTGTCAGTGTCTGGGAATTTACAAATACCTGTGCCCAGACCCCTTCCTAACCCAACCGTGGGATGGGACTTGGCAGCAACTGGTTCAGAAGGGATTCGTTTCCGCAGCCACCTGTTATCCATTTTCTTAAAGGTTCAGTACCTAGGAGAGAGCGCCCCAGCACGTTCGAAAGCCAGCAGGGATTTTTTTAAAAGATTAATTTTCTGGAAATAAATAAAAATCGGAGAGCCTGGTGTAATTGCAAAAAAAAAGTGTCAATATTTACCTTTTCATTAAAATTTCTGATTGTAATTTCAAAAATTGATTTCATGTGGCAAAGTGCTGGAAATTTAAAATCGGGATAGGACTGTAGCTCACGGGTAGTTGCGAATTTAACAAGGCGGCCGTGGGTTCAATCCCCAGCTCGAGAGAGGAGAAAGAAAGGGAGAGAAACAAAAACCCCAACTGCACCTCTAAAAACCTGGAATACATGTTCACAAGAGTCTGTTTCAAATATAATTGTGTATTTTTATAAATGAGTGCTATTTGCATAACATTCGCTGTACTGAATGTGCTGTAAAGGGATGTTTTTTTAAAAAGGCTAATCAAGAGAATTGGAATGTTCCCAGATACAAAACAAATACAACAATCTTATTCCTTCGCAAAGGATGACAAGTATCAGTACTTCATACAACTAGATTTAATAAGTTGTTATTACAGAAAAAAAAGAAGTCCAAACTACAAAGTTTAAGCAGTTGTAAGCAATAGCTGCATTGAGCTCCATGTTTAGTCACAGTACTGTAGTTCCATACAAGCAATATTAGTCCAAGCCCCAAAGGCAGAAGCTGAGTAAGGGTTACTAGCAAAAAACAATCTAAGAGAACAGGTAATAAAAGATACAATACATTTAAAATTAGTTAGTTGAAAAACAAATACAGAGATCTTAGCTGTGAACACTCTAAAAGTTATGTCCATTATTTTGACAGCAAAAATACAAATACCTAATACTTTATACCCCAACAGAACTATATCCAGGAAAGAAAAAGAGAAGTTATCCTGTTTTTAGCACCCAAGTTTTCTACTTGTTGCAATTAACTTCATCATACAAATTTAAACATCCCTGAATCACAGATCCATTCTTGACCCATTTTGGGGTATAGAGTAAAGTCAACAGCATTAATTATAAAATACTCTGTGGTAAGATGGAACACTATTGCAGCTGAGATAGAGAAGTTTGGTTATAATAAAAGAAAAAAGAAAAAAAGAAATATTAGCTGTCATACCATACAAATTAGTGAAAAAGCAACAATCCATACAAATACTCCAGTTGTAACAAAAGATACTTTTTTCACTAATCTGTGACTAATCTTTCATTCAAACCTTGCAAGTAGAGATGTCACAATACTCAAATATTTAGGTAGGAGCTTTACCCAGTTAAATACCATTTTGTTGCTAATATAATAGATAAAATGAAAACTAGCAGATATTTGCTAATTGCATAAATGCAGTACATTCTGCATTAGCCCATGCCTCACTAACAAGCTATAAAACACAAGATATAGGCAGAAATCTAAGCATAATCTTTATACCACTAAACAAGAAGTTTTCCAATTTCTTTTCTTCTGTTCCTAATCATTTATTTGTAGTTAATGTAAAATTCCAACCAGTAGTACCCAATTTGAGTTAAAATTTTACATCACAACTTGATCTAATCTATATATTATTTACAAAACTGAATACACAGAGCGTACCCAAGAGCCGACTCTGGACACACGTTTCTCCGAGTTATTGATTAACCTCTGCTCCGTAGGCACGGAGCTGGAAGAGGCTACCAACGACTAGTAGAAACACACCATCCATCTAGAGCAAGTCATTGGATGTTCCGTTTACGCAACACCAGTTTTGCAGTTATATTTTTTTGTTTTGCTTTTAGTTTTGCTTTAACTTTAGGTGCCATTGCAACGACGTGCTGTCTTAACAGCACAGCTTCCCGGTGAGGTGGGTGTTGGAAAAGCAGCAGCAGGAGGGCAGACAGATCATGCATGGGGTGACCCGGTGTGTGGCCGCAATAAAGGGCAAAGGGGCACCATAACAGGAGCAGGCAGGGGTGTGAAGGAAGATGCGGACTGACACGCACAACGTCCACGTACAGTGGTGACGACTGAGTGTGCTTCCAGCCACCCTGTGTGGAGGGAAGAGACAGCACGGGCCAGGCCTGTGCTACACAGAAGGTGGCATTCCCTTAACAACCCCCACTGACTCATAGACGTCACCACTGTAGATGTATGTAAAGGATTCCGGACAGAAAGGAACCATCTCATACACGGACAGCAACTGGTGGCAGAATCTCTCTCTCACACACACACACATATACACACACTCAGGACACAGTGAAGAGTTAGAGGGAGAAAGCAATGAAACATTCTGTTGACCTAGCTAGGTTTTACACCCAGTGGGATTTCAGTAAGGGGTGACTTCATTTCAGGGCCACAGATTTGGCTGCACCTGGTGTTGTATAAATCCACTGTGACATCCCTAGAGACCTGTACTGTGACATCCCTAGTCTTACACTAAATCACTTTAATAAAGGAAAAGGCTTGTCAAAATTTCACATGTTCTGCTCATTCTGTCATTTTATTACCCAATTATCCATTACATTTTTTCCAATCACTTTACATAACCAACCATTTTCATCGTTGTCACACTATTGTAAACCACATCAGCAAGTTAATACATAAAGCTTTGCATTTCAAAAAACTAGACACTTTAGTAACAATATTACAAAGGTTTTAGCTTCAAAAATAACTGAAAATGAAAAAAATAAACTTTTAAAGAATTAGCATCATAAAATTAATTTATTCCAAGTAAAAATACAAAATAATATTATGACATTGACCAGATATGAAAGTCCCTCCCAGAAACAACTCTATTAATGATTGAGAAAGCACTCCTTAAAGAAAATACGAAATAAAATGAAAAATATGTAAATATGTTTAATTTTTTTCTTAGCAAAAAATCTTTCTAAAAATAACAATGAAAATTTGTCTCAGTACAAAGGCTACATTACTATTGAAAAAATACCAGCATGAAGAAAAGGTACATATTTGACAGTAGAAAAATGATTTCAGTGAATCACAATGTCTAAAGTTTGCAATGAAAATAAATCTGCAATAAAGATTTATGCCTTTTTTCTTTTCTTTTTTTTTCTATTTTTTATACAAACAGTACAAACAGTATTGCACATAACAACAAATAGTCGAGGTTAGGTTATAGCCTTCAAAAAATCGACTAGTTCAAGTGTCACATCAAGGAAAGGCCACAACAGGACCTGTGTTACCCAGGGGCTTCCCAGTCAAGTTGCAGGTCAGAACACCTCTGTGTTTTAAAAAATAATTTTTTTGAAGGACCCTCTCTTTTAATATAACATTAAGAACTTGGGGGCACATTTATTTACAAAACAAAAGGGAACATGTTATAATTTAATAAACTAAAAAAGTTCTCTTTAAAAAAATACAAACAGAAGAACTCTTTCACAATCCTGGTCAGTCGTGCACAATCAACGCTTGATTATAAATATACAAATTAAGGGAAAGTAGTTTCCACCATCTATTCACAACTTTCAGCACCAAATGGAGTTTATTTTTGTAACCTAGTCTTTATAACAACGTGTTTTTTTCCTTCACTTTAGCTTTATGCTGTACAATCCTCCAGCTTTGTGTTTTTTTAATCTCAGTGTTATTTTAGTACATGAAAGAGGGGTGCTTCTTCAAAAAGTTTTGCTTCTTTCACATAATTAGGTAGATTTCTGTAGGTTAGATATGATCTTTAATATTATAGTTATAAAGCTCTAACTTCTTCATTTTCAAAAAACACAAATAAGCATGAAAAAAATAAAGTTACCCATCTGTTAAATCATTTTCTTGCAGAATTAAATTAATATATATTTTTCTGAATAAACTTACTTAGAAAATATCATTTTCTTTCCTATATTTCAAAATTGAGGTATTGCAAAAGATCATGTCAGTCAGAAAGCATGCCTTTTTCCTTAAAAACAAACAAACAAAAAAATCTTCAGCCAACTTTTGAAAACTGTCTAGAATACAAAAAGTAGTAGTGCATAACAAAATTTCTTATACAGATGAAAAACCAAACCAAACCACAAACATAGAAAAAAACAAACGAACAAACAAACCCACACCTGGGCTGGAAAAAAGCAATTATTACCAAAAAGCCCAGAGGTCACCTCAATTGGGGAGGATTCTAATAAGCATTTTTAATCCAGTAAAAAACTATTTTGTTTTTCCTTTTTGAAAACAAACTATAGCTTGAGAGCCAGTAATTGCAACTAAACACTGGAGAAAAAAAAAAAAAAAAACAAGCAATACTAATTCAAGACAATACAAGGACATCACAGCACATAAAACAGCGACTTAAGTCTATTCTGCAGTGTCACATCCAGTCAGATTGTCCCCAGAATTCCAAAACAGGAAGAAGATTTAAGAAAAGATTTACATAGTCTCGCGATCATTGTATGTGTTTATATATTACTATCTGCAGCCCAAGAGTGAATGCTAAAAAAATGTCCACGGTAGTACTAGCAGGTCTTAATTCTATTCAAGCTTTACAGGATAAATCCAGGGAATTAAGTAGTTAATTTCTCACCCAGACAACCAACTCTGCCCAGGCCATCTTATTTTATACAGACATTTCTTTAGCATCACCATCACACAACTCTCTTAAAGATGTGCCTAGTTTGTCAATCTGACAACTTATCTCTAGATACTGTATATATTCTTAGTGTTTGTAAGCTAAGATGAGCTCTTTGGTTTTCTGGACAAGGTCTGAAGCTATGTAAAATGGTGCAAGCACTAGGAGATTGTAACTAAGAGCTCATGTGTTACTTAATATTATACCAGTTATGAACTGTCAAGTTCGTTAATGTCTGACACAGAGGCTTTAAACAGTTAAGTTTGATCACAGTTAGACATAATCACTTTACTATATAAAATAAATTGCACAATATATAACAGAGCACCGCAAAGTACTTCATCTACCATCCACAAATTTGCTTTAAGAATATCCTACACCTAGGTTTTATATTGGTTGTAATATAGGTCATTCTGTTATGGGCTCCTCCTATTCAGAAGCATTCCATTTATTGAGGCATGCCTTCCTCCGATCGATTACCAATTCTTTGAATGAAAAAAATCTTGTTTTAAAAAATGAGTATTTTATAGCTTATATAGATTCTTAATTTGTGCATTGTGGGAAGGTTTTTATACTAGACATTGGATATAAAATTTATTGCATGCAGCAACCTGATTAAGTAAACATGCAGTCAGAAGTAGTGACCTTCCATTGACGCTTTCTGAAGTCTATTCTGATCTTCTTTCGGCAGCTGACTCTCTATCCCTAAATCATAAGAGTGTGTTGTTGGGTTTTTGTTTTTGTTTTAATTGATACCTTAGCCTGAATAGAGTATTATGGTATTAATAATACCATTTTAATAGCAGCAAAAGCTATTGCAGCATAAATTTACATAACACTAAAAGATCTAACCAAAATCCTCAGCAAAACAAAAATCAAACATGAAGGGAAAATAAAGATCCAGCTTATGAGGTATCCTTACAAGTCAAAATACAGAGCAACTAAAGGCTTATTTTCATTAGGGTTATCCTTATTCTAAATGACCCCAACTAATGATTGCTGAATTGTGAAGGTTTTGCTACATCTGCCACCTACTCACGAGTATTACCTTTGGTAAGTCTTGTCCTAGGGGCAACTCTCTAAGTTTCTGAAAATAAGTGCATGCTCCAGTTTCAAAACAATCAAAACAACAACAAACAAAAGAATCACAGACGTCAACCTGATGGCCGCTGATGAGAATGGCAGTCTACGTACAGTCACGAGTGACAAATCAGGTGTAAGAAATTAAGGTACCAAGCAGACAAAGGTGTGAATCAAAGTGCAAATCAGTACCGTTATACACTCTGCAGTTTTGCATTATACTGGACACTGAGTTCAGTAATATGACTGTAAATAATAATAATAGTAATAAAAAGACCCATTTCTTCTTTAAAAATCGAGAACGAATGCACAGATTTCCAGAACGCTGTAAGCCCTGAGGCAGTGCCCTCTCTTTTCCCTCCTTGTTATCTACTCCAGTACTTGTGGCTGGGTCGGCCCTGGGCTCAGCTCCAGCGGAAGGGGACGTGACGAGGGCGGTCGCCTCCCTCCTTCACCAGCGGTTTGTGGAACTCCCGCCCGGCACGGGAATGTATGCTCGCCCAGCAGTATTCGCAGTAATACTGCAGACAGGTGACGTTGGCACAGAAGAACGGGGCAAACTTCCCACCACAGCGTGTGCCCTGGCACTCATCACACATCTGATCATCCAGCACATATGGCTTCACTTCCACCTGGACCCAGAGAGGAGAGAGGGGAAAATGGGTTAGCAATGTTTTTCATATTTCTCCCTGTTGAGAGTTTAGAAGCGGCTTAATGATTTGCCACCACTTGGAACTCCACTAATAAGGACAGTAGCCAAGACGGTGGGCTTTGGAATCAGCTCCTGGGTGCACTAGCTGTGTGGGATTAGGCAAATTCTTGACCTCTCTGTGCTTCTGTTGGCTTTATCTGGATAACTGTAAAACAGGTGTAACATTTATACACATGTGATGTTGCAGTGTCTGCATCAGCGGTTGAAGACTGGCAGGCAGGGCATTATCTATTCAGGGTTCCAGCTGAATAGACAGCTAAAAGCTTACTGTGTTGTTACTGGATGAGGATTTCTTTTTTGCACCAGGGATTGAACCCAGAGGCACTAAACCACTGAGCCATTTCCCCAACCCTTTTTATTTATTTATTTATTTATTTTGAGATAGGGTCTTACTCGGTTGCTGAGGCTGGCTTTGAACGTGCAATCCTCCTGCCTCAGCCTGCTGAGCCACTGGGATAATAGGCCTGCACCCCCCACCCCCAGCTGGTCAAGAGTTTTGAGGGATCTAATCAACAAAGTGTGTCATAACACCCATCAGGACTGTCTCTAGGCCAGAGACACAGTGATGCCTTATTGATCAGCTTCCTGAGTGAGTAATGGATTCCTCATAAATTACTTTTCCCAGAGGCCAGACATTTTCCCCTTCTGGTGCTTAAACATCTTGAATTTTGAATTTTTTGGTGAAAAGCTTACTAAAATATATTATCCATCCTGCCCCAGTCTAAGCAGGAGACATTATGGATGTTCTTTGAAGTGCCATGGGTGATTTTCACTTTTGCTTACATTCCCTTAGAATCTTGCTATCTGTTGTCATGTCCAATAACACCTTTCAAACCCCCTGTATAAGTTTGTGATTTCCAATCATTTTCATTAAGCTTACTAAAAGGGGCACACTAAATGCCAGTCAAATGACTCTTAAAGGCCCCAGAATAAAGGATGTGGGTTTTGGAGTGCTGCTGCACTCTCCGAGGCCTTTCCTGGATACTTCCTGAGGGTTGATCACCCAAAGATGAGACACACACCATGACTCAAAATGATCCCAACCCAGATGTGCAAGGCTGCTACAGCAACCTCTCAGAAGGCAACAGCCAAGCTGACTCTGCAAATTTACATAAATTAAAGAGAACAACTACATGAAGCATACTCTTTAGGCTGTCCCACACTAAAAGAGGGTGATTATTTTGGCTCATGTGGATTTACTCACATGTCTGGTATTTATGGATTGCTTATTCCTTGCCAGGCCCTATATTAAAACTGAAATGAAATACAGAAGATGACACAAGTTCTTCCCTGAAATAATTTATGGCCTAGGACAGTTTCTTCAAGTTTCATAAGGACCTGACTCACTTGGAGATCCTACATGACACTGTTGAAGGGAGGCCATAATTCTTAGTAGAGATGTCCTAAACGTCTATGCATAGTTTTTGCCATCTTCCAATGCTACTTGGACCATTACCAGATATATTAAATGACTATCCAAATTAATTCCACTTTTTCTAATAAATAAATACAACAAAATAAAAACTGGCTTCTCTTTTCATCACCTAAATCACCTGGAATATCAAGCCATGACACTTTGGAAACATCAGTCTGGTGGAAATCTCATTACTGAACTATATAAAACTCCAAAGGCTCCAGGCCTATGCAAAGCCAATTGCATGGCCAAACTGACCCTTTCCTTCAGAGGGACTTGCAGGCACAGGAATGATAACTACCTTCAGAGATACATGGATTACTATCCCACATGCCTGAAGGAGGTGGTTATGCCCAAGGATACTGAAGAGCATGTATAATTTACTGATGAGCTGATGACCACTAAGGATAAGTGGGACTGATGGGAGCTTGGACAAGTGGCTACAGAAGATAGACAAGGAGAAAAATATGTTTAAAATGATACAGACAAAAAGAAAGTCATACCTAAATAAAACTGATTTCATACTTAAGTTTTTTATTTCTAACAAGCTACAGAAATGTTTGTCTGCGGTCATTTTGTTATCAGTCAACAAACTGACCTCCCAGAGTTTATAAAACAATGACTGAACAACTCTTAGTGGCAGAGAGAGTACATCAAGAGACCATACACTATTCAAAGTGCAGAATTTTCTGTCCTTGGACGTGAAATAAGAGGGAGGTACTGGCCAATGTAAGGAGCGGTTTGAATTATATGCTAAAGGTCATATTAAGGACAATCAAAGACCAGCCCTTGAGATAGTCTGCCCTTTGAAGAGAAGAACCAAATAAACCATCCCAGTGCAAGTAAGGCATGCTTATGGGTAGATGGAAGCCAAGTAGAAGCAGCCATTTCAAATAATGGATTTGGAAAAGACAAGTTGGAAAAAGAAGCCAAATGAAGGCTGTCATTTGATAGGAAGAAAAGTAAGGCTTGCACCTCTTCATACAGATTCACAGCTCAAATACATGCTGTAAGCCAGGGCGTAAAGGAGAGGTAGTCAAACAGTAGCATACACCAGCAAGGCTTTAACTCCAAGAATCACTCACCAGGAGGCCAATGAAAGGACAAACCTGACCTAAGGATCAGATTATAAGAAAAAAATGAGCTGGAGCCTGTGGATGGGAAAGGCAGAAGAGAAGATGTACAGAACAGCCACGCTACAGGGGGAAGAAACAAAGAAGGGGTGCTAAGAGCCACAGCCAAGTAATATGATGCATGGCACTTTTAGTTGAAAGGTGACCCAGCTAGCCATTGAGATGATATGATTATGTTAAGATTTGCATTCATATGGATATTGGACTCCCGCTGTTCACCTCGGCCTGCTACGGGACTCCTGGAGAGTTCCCATTGGTTGGGGAAGTGCAGTAGGAGGGAATTCCGGGGGAGGAACTTGTTCTGGGGTTCCCCCAAGTGGGTGGATCGGCTTCTTCCCGGACGTGTACAGGGTACTGGCGGTATTTTCAAAAATAAAGTTTGTTCCTGCTTGAGTGGCTCGTGATTTTGTGCCCAGCCAGTCTGCGGCAAAGGGGCACCACTGTTCTTAAGATAAATACAGCACACAGACCTTGAGTAAGAGAATACTGCTTCCAGGTGATGACCAGAAAGAAGAGTGGGTGAGAAGTAGGATAGAGGTTACTGAAAGATTCATACCATCTCCTTCTCCTGACTTCAAGGGAGGGGCTCTCATCATCACATTTCGGGTGAACAACTGAACACTAGGGCTTGAGTGATTGTGCCTTCTCTCTCCAGCTGCCCAGAGATCCAGGGTCAATGCCAAGAGCACTATGGCAATGTCAGGTTTTATCACCAGAGGCACATGTTTGGACCAAAGGAAAGGATAATCAGCTGTCCTCTGGCAAAGAAACCTTGACTCTGGTTTTCCATTCTGAGACCCACACTTCAGAAGGACACATTGTCAGAAGGACCTGACTCTTGATGTGACACTGCTGAGGCCATAGTGCTTAGTAGAGACATCTATAACTGAGACATTCACCGCACATCTGGGATAAGCAGCAGCAACTGCAGCTTGGGGCTGCCTAACAGATTACTGTTCAGTGTGAGCCCTACACACCATGTGTGAGCTATATAGGTTAAAGGGAGAACTAAACCTTGATAATAAGGAATTTAATTTCTTTGAATTTTTTAACTTACTAGGCTTCTTGGAGAGATCAGACCACAAATGGTGGCCATAAAGAGACACAAGAAATCAGTTAATGATAACATCAGGAAGCTGCTGATGCAAAATCTTTAATAGCTAAAGTCTAGCACATGCTGACCACAGCCCATATGCCAGGACAGATAATGTCACCCGTGTTGGGTAATCAGTGCATTAGTTAAGTGGGTTGCAAATACATTACCTAGACAAGAGTATTTGTAAATGAAATGTTAGAGTACTTTTTTCCAGCTAATAGGGAGAAATTTCAATCCAAATTCACTATTTTTTAAAATAAATTCCTAAGGTCTAAGAAAATCTGAGGGAACATGTCACCTCAAATAAGAGTGCTGAATTCCCTAACAGCTACATTTAAACAGTTAATCTGGGACCTGAGAATCAAGCCAGCAGTCCCTTTAGAATCTGTACAAGTCATAGTTTTAACTCACACTGGATTCTGCCTGGCCTTTAAAAAACTGGATCAACCAAAGCCACAAAGTATGTCTCTTTGTAGTTAAATCAGATGGACATCAGTAATAATTCATTAAAGTTTTGTTCATATATACACTATGCAATGGCTAGGGAAAGAGCAGCATTGAATACTTAAAGTTGTTTACTTATTTAAAGAAAAAGCATTTAAAAAGTTAAGGGCAGGGTATAAGTGTCCCTATTTCTACATTGGACCCTGGTATGATCCTGGCTCACTAAGCAGGCCATTTCCTATCACCTGGTACAATGGTGCTTCTTGGAAAAACATTTAATTTGGAGTGCTCAAAGCTTTCAAACATGATCTTCTTGGCATGTGTCACAGAGTACATCCATCCAGGCCTAAAAATCACAGCAGACTCACTGACATTCCCATTCAACCCATCTTTCCAGTTGCTGAAGGAGGTCTTCCAGCAGCTGACAATACTAAGAACATCTAACATAAACATACGTTTTTGGTTTTTCCATCTGTCTATGAGCCAGAATCCTGCTATTTAGAAGATAACAGATCACACAAAATCAAAGTAGCAACATGAAAATAGCTTTTCCTTAGCAACGAAGTTATGCATAACCTTCCAGATATGGCAAATTCAGTTATTAATTTTAGAAGTGACTTGGGGTAGTTTTTGTTTGTTTGTTTATTTTTCAGTTGTAAATGGACAGAGTGCTTTTATTTGTTTATTTATATTCGATGCTGAGGATCGAACCCAGTGCCTCACACATGCTAGGCAAGCACTCTGCCACTGAGCTGCAGCCCCAACTAGGGTAGTTTTTTTTTTTTTTTTTTAATCCATAGGGAAAATGGTTTGGATTTTGTTTTCAAAAATTT